CTGGGTAATAACGAAAAATCTGGTAGCAATTGAAAACACAACAAGCTTTTGCAGTTAGGCAGAATTGTTCTTCGTTTACTTTGTTGGCGTTTTTTGGCAAGGGATTTCTGCAAATATGAGTAAATCTTTTTGACCAGTAATAAACTAGATATTTTAGAATACTATAAAAATATTTAAACATCAAATTACGGACTCTCTTACTAAGGGGCATTATGCTTCCCTAAGACCAAATGTGGTGACAATGAAATCTAAAGTTTATCGTCACACAAAATCTCCTGTGAGTACAATTCCAATTCCAAAGAGCAGATTTGAACATATACATTTCGGTATTGTTGGACCGCTTCCTGTTTCAAAAGGTTATCGCTACATTTTAACAATTATGGATAGATTTACTCGTTGGCCGGAAGCATATGCTTTAAAGGATATCTCTGCACAGACAGTTGCAAATAAATTTATTACTTAATATGTATCGCGTTTCGGAACTTACTAAATTGCTTGGAAGTCATCATATCACAACTTCATCCTATCATCCTCAAAGTAATGGTATTGTGGAACGATTCCATAGACAATTGAAATCTTCAATTATGGCTAGGAATGGAACTAGAGATTGCTACGATGAGCTACCGATAATTCTTCTTGGTTTGCATTCAGTGTACAAAGAACATATTGGAGCCACTCCAGCTGAAATGTTTTTTGGTCAAACTTTGCGTCTACCTGGAGAACTTGTTGTGCGAACTACTGAAAATGTTACTTATATCGAAATTTTAGGAAGTTTACGGGAACTTTTTAAAACCTTTAATTCAAATTTAAAACATAAAAATTCCGATTCAGGAATTTATGTTCCAAAAGATTTATAAACGTGCAAATTTGTTTTTATTTGCATTTTTTAGTAAGCATTCTCTTCAACATCCTTATGAAGGGCCTTACTGAGTTATTGAAAAAGATAAAAAATATTTTAAGGTAGATGTAAATAATGAAATTGAAATTATTTGGGTTGGCAGATTAAAGCCAGAATAGTTGAAATAACACAACCACATAACACTAACAATCTATCATGACAAAAACATAGTAAGGTAAAACCATTCTCTCAATTCGTCGGCCATGATTTTTTTTTTTGAAGTTTGCCAACATTTTAAAATCATATAAAATTGAGAGTAAAAAAAAGGAATTGTTCAAAGTTGTTGTTGTTTGAGATTGAAAATGAGAATGTGTGTGTGAGTTAGTGTGTAAAATTTTAAAATTAAATTGCTTGCAAACGTCAAGAATTTAAAAAATTCCTCTCAGCGGTTCTACCCAAGGTGTATTACAGGCTAACCTAATATTCGCGGCTTGCGTTTTGGTACGCATGCCGTCGAATTTGTTTTTTTGCGTCACCCGAAATTGACTTGCATGCGTTTGCATTTGATTTCATTGAGCGAAACGTCAAATCAAAATGTCACGCATAACAAAAATTGGAAATTGAGTTAGCTTCATACGCACGCCGTTCAATTTCGGTTGATCTCATACAAGTTGCATGTGCATGAGAAATTTTTGACAGTAAATTGGCGGCGTGCGTGAATATTAGGTTAGCCTGTTAAACAAGGTGTGATTGACAACTCAGTGCGACTCTCTTTTAAGGTACTATAATGTCAAAAAGTATAAACAAATGAATTAACCCTTAGTGATGCATGTATCTTGTCAGCACTGATGCCCTAGGCTTTTATATTGATTACAGTTTTGTTTTACTTAAATTACCTGGAATACATATATTTTGTCAATAAAACAAAACAAATTGTTTATAAAATCGTTTTAGCAATTTTCTTGTTTTTAATTGCCCAAGTTTTATGCTTTGTACGTTTATTTTTATATTTAAATTTTTTATCCTAAACATTATTCGACACTTATAAAAGTATGATTTTACATTTGTTTCCAATTTTATATGAGAGCTTAACTCTAACAATTTTGAAATTAAATTTTTTTCATGCGAAATAGTTTGGGTATAAACGAGCTCGTTTGAAAGTGCTTGATTCGGACGCACAACAAATGAAATCACTTTCCTTGAAGTACAACACCACATCGCTGCCGTCTTAACTCGCATCTAGGTGGTTTAAAACATCGCAATATTTTCGCGTCCTGACGTCTATTGCATACATCGCACCGTTCAAAAGTTTTGCTCCGTTTCATCTTGGTTTCCTTACATTGAATATTAAGCAAAGTCGAACGTATTTACTTAATACCAAACTTTAAATGTACTTACTTACTCTCCTCGGCGGTTTATCTCTAACAATTTAACGTTTATTAAGAAAATGTGTTGCTTGAAAATTTTATGTGTACATTTTTTTTAAACAAATTCAAATTTGAAAAAAAAATATTTTCAAATGGGTTAACAATTCATTTCAATTTGACATTATAGCCTGTTTCTTATGAGAGCAATGTCAAAATCAATCACACTTTGTTGAATACATTTTGGTTCTACCTTCCTATTTTTTATCATGCAATCTATTTCAATTTGTATAATAATAACTCTCTGGAAGGGGGAGTATTGTAGGGTTAATACTATTTACTATTGTACTTTGTGCATTTTTTTCTACTTTGTTATTTTTGAAATTATTGAATTAAGTTCTTTTCAATTTATGTAAATCAAAAAGAAAATTTTTGTACTTTAGAGTTTTTGTTCTTGCTGAAAGCATTTATATTTATATTTTTTGTTTACTTATTCTTTAGAACGTTCCTGATGATATGTTAACGTATATTTTAATCGCATTCTGTTTATTCTGGCTGTGAAATGGGATTATCCGGAATAAATAAAGAAACGCAGCCATTATTTAATCGAAATATGTATGTATATATAAAAATATTTTAAATAATTTAAATTTTTAACCACACCACACTTACTATATTTTTATCATGTATGTAGGTATACATACATATATCGTGAATTAGTTTTGACTTACCCTAACATGAAACATCATACGAAAATCACATTTTGATTAAGCCATTATTGTGAGATTTTAAGACACATTTTGGCTGTATTCTGGCAAAGTTTAATTTCAACGCACAGTATTTTATTGGCAAATTCTCCTTCCAGCATTTATATGCAATTTTCAATATTAAGCAATTTTACTAAAATATACAGATTCACAATTCACACAAATAGCACATTTTCATTTCTATAAACTAATACTTAGGAAAATGCATATTACAATATACTCACACCATTATTGCGAGCTTTTATGGCAGAATTTGAAACATTTTTTTTTTCTTCATACATACGTGTATATCGCTACCTTAATTCACAAAGGCCCTACCAACACATTTTTCGAAACTGCGTTTTTCACAGATTTTTGTAGGACATATTAAAATACACCTTCATAAAAAATAAAAAATTTGAAAGTTTTAGAACCAAAAATAACGGAGTTATGCCACTTTTTGAAATGCCCTATCAGCATTAGCGCACACAAGGGGTGGGTTTTGGGGTTCAAACCCCCCCTAAAGCTAATAACCTCAAATACAAACTGTATCTTAAAGCTAAGAATCCAGCTCTCAAGGAAATTATAAGAAATATTTATTATAATTTCTGTTGCTTGAAAAAGCGCTTTGCTTTTGCTGTAAATTTTCATGAGGAAATGAATATACGAGCATTTTTTCCTTGAGAGCTGCAAACTGATTTAAGAAATTTTGGTAGAAGAAAATTTCTTTTCATTTCTCAGAGAGAGTTCAGTTAATTTTTTCGGTATTCGAAATATTAAAAAAAAATAGAAATCGTGAAAAATCACCATCTCTATCGAAAGCCAGAAACCAGAAATCGAAAAAAGGAACATAAAAGTGCAAAAATTCATGGAATCAATAAATTTATTTTTAATGAGTCTTATTTAAAATTTTTTCTTAGGTACTTTTGAAAGTTGAGCGCATCTTGAGTTTATAGCACTTTTTATTAAACAAGTCGTTTTTAAGGAAAGAACACAACGGGCTTCAATTCTTATATTCAAATTTAGGGGTACCGTTAATTTCTTCATGATCCAATCATCGGATTACATTGAGCCCAAATGCGTCATTTGGGCGAGAAACCTCAAATGCGAGGCCAAATCACGCATTTCTCCATACAAATTCACATTTCCAGAATGACGCATTTCGACGCATTTACACAAAATCACGAAACAAATGCGTTCCAATTGCCGTACTATTTTATTGAACGCACTCAGAAACAAAAGTTCCACAAAAGCTTTGGTTTGTCTTTGACATTTGGAATTTTTCAAACACAAAACAAACACAACGAAATAAATAAATCTTTGAAATTTGTGTGTAAAAATTGTTAATTTATACAAGAGCTTTACACATTTTTAGTTTAATCAAAGAATAATTGCCTTTTTGTGTCCAAAAAGCGTTAACAATATAATAAATGTAGTGTTTGTTTACATACATTTTGTTTTTGTCTTCCCTTTTCATTTGATGAGAAGTCAAAGCAAATGCGGATCAAGTAGTGTAAACACCTTCAAATGACTGATTTCAAATCACGCATTTTGGTCCAATGTAAATGTAATATAAATAAAGTGCAGTTTATGAATTTTAAAACGTTTATTTATTTATTACATACTGTACATAAAGCTTGCATAAATATATTTTAAAGAGCGTATTATCTGAAGAAAATTTTCAGTATTTTCCGGTGATATATCTTCAGAAATATAAAACCCCCCTAAAATATAAACGAAGTGTCAAACGAAGGCGGAAGAGGAAGAGAACACAGAACTGAACTAACTTCCGTTTCTTAACTTTGCACACGCACCACCCTGTTTAATTTAATAAGTTGCCAGAAATCTAGCTTTTTGAGCTAAGTGTCCACTGTTTTATCTAAAATTTTTAATATTTTTATTTTTAAAGGAATTATGATAGAATTATGTAAAAAATTATGTTAGTTACAGGATCAAATAGTTTTTTCTTTTACATCTAAACCTTTAAACACTTTGTGCAAAATGGCAACATCGGTTGCCCAGATGAGCAGCAGCCGACTTGACGTAAATTGCAATTTTGTGCGGTTATTACGCACACATATTCCATCTTTGCATAAATTTTTTATTGTTAGTTAAAAATAAAAGATAAGCTCGAGCTTCGAAGCGCAAAGAATAGCCTATAATAAAAAACAACGAAGTAATTTCACTGAGAAGCAGTAATCCTCGCAGTGAAAATGGCAGAAAATAAACAAAACGACAAGAAAGAATTGGATGATTTGCTTGACAGTGAGTCCAATGTGCACCGCCGTCATATTCTGGGCGTTTTAAATTATATAATATAAAATGAGTCAAAATTAATAAAAATTTGATTTCTTATTTACATATCCACAGATGCCTTGCAGGATTTCGATAAGAACAGCACATCCGCCAGCGCAGGAGATGCCAGCAAAAATGTTGCTGCAAATGGGGCGGTGGTGGGCACTCCAGCTGATGCCGAATCCGCCGCAGATCCCGACGCATTTTTTATGTAAAATTATTAATTATGAAATATCAATTTGATATTTGTATTTAAAGTTTTTAATTTTTTACACAGTGAGCAGGCAAATGTTTTAGCCGAACGCATGCAAACCTTGTTTGGTGGTCCCAACACACCTAGTGGTGAACTACCGCCGCTGCCGCAAGATCCAGATCAAATTTTGGCTGGATTCAAAAAAATGGCTGAAGCGGCAGCTATGACTTTGCAGGGCGAAAATCCAGCAAGTGATGAAGAAGTGGCCAAATATTCTGATAGTATAGCACAAGCACTCAAGGTGAGTGTGTGTGTGTGTGTGCATATTTGTTGATGCGGGGAAAAGCACCTGACACTTGAACTAATAACATGCTAATTGCTTATTATCATTTATTTTTATTTTTTTAGGGCCTTCAAGAAGGCTCGGAAAATTTAAGTGCACCCGTTTCTGAGACTGATGTCGCTAGCATGTTTAGTGGGCTCAATTTAGAAAATGTAAGTTTTGGAAAATTTTCTTCTCTTAGAATGATACTGAGTATGCTTTTAATTTTTGTTTAGCCCGGAGAAGGTGATAACAACATGTTCCTACCGTTCATGGAAGGCATGATGCAGAGTTTGCTGAGTGCGGAAATATTGCTGCCAAGCATTAAAGAGTTGGTAGCAAAGTATCCAAAATATTTTGAAGAGCATGGTGACAAAATTAGCGCTGAGGATCGAGAGAGGTAGTAGCCTATATAAATTCGTGTAACACGTGTATAATTAATTATATATGTACATATGTATCTTAGATATGAAAAACAACTGGAACTATACAAAGTGCTCGAGAAGCAATTAGAAGCAGAGAAACCGGACGATTCAGCAGCTGTTAAGCGCGACAAATTCAAAGTCGTTCTCGATCAGATGCGCCGATTGCAAGAATTTGGAAACCCGCCCGACGAAATTTTGGCTGAAACAGCCGGTGATCTTCCCATACTGGATCCAAATTTAGCCGGCGGTGCTGCAGGTGCTGGAGCGAACCCACAGTGTCCAATGATGTAGTGTGTGGGCGTCATTTTAATAACATCATACGTGTAGCTGGCATCGAAATTGCTGGCAAGACGACATGAACGAAGCAGCAATTTTGATATCAATTAGTAGTATTTAGACATTTTTATTTGACAAGAGCATCTTAGTTATTCAGGCAGGTTCTGTTATTTCACTATGCTGTAATTCACTTCCGAGTGAATATGAGCAAATTTCGCTTTGAATTCAAATTGGCAGGGGTTGAAATTCACTCGGAAGTGAATTGCAGAACCTGCCCGATTGTTTTTGACGATATTTTATTTTATTTGCATTATTAATGTTCTTTTTGATTTTAATTTGTTGAATTAATTTAGGTATATCATTTACTGGTTTGATGCAAAATATGAAATACTTACAAAAAAAATATTTATTTTCAACGTTTTTGAATGAAAAAATTACCTTGTATTAAAAACATAAATATTTTGATAAAAAGTTGTAAGTTAATTTTATGAAGAGAGAAATGCAGATGCACATTTCATTTATTTGGAACTCCTTTTACATTTTGCAAAAAAACAAGATGTTACAAGCAAAGCCAAACTTTACAAAAAGAAACGACGTCGGGAGGACTCCATAGCGTGCCTCTTGTTTGTTATTATCCAAGCGTAGTCACCCGTTTTGCTATCGAACAAACCCTCTTGTAGCGAACGCAGTTTCAATGTAAAACGTGGTCCCATTTCACGTAAATTCACCTTTTTGCCCTCCTTTGTGAACTCATAGCGATGATGTCTGAAAAATATATAATCACGTTGATTATGAAAAGTTACTGCACGTCGACCTTTAAACTCAGGATCATGATGGAAAAGCGCACCCAGCATGCGACCAACGGTGAGACCCAATCTTGTGGTAAAATTAGTCAATATGACTTCAGGGCGATGTTTCGTTATCTCTTTATGACTACGCTTAATATCCGAAGTTAGTTTAACATTAGACAATTTGAAATGCGCCGTCGGACCATTTGGTAGATGTATGACAAGCAGGCCATTAGGTTTGCGGCGATCTTCATTTATGACTACAACATCCGTGTATTCTTCGCGTATAGCACTTTTGCATATATTTTTTACAGAAGATCTATTTCGTATTTTAACCAATGCATTTGGAAAAATTCGACTTAGTTCCAGGCCAAATTTTCTTGTCTTCGTTACTGGATTATCGGCGTAGGTAATCAGTACTTTCGGCTCGTAACTACGCTGAAAATAAGAACTGAAATCGTCCATTTCCAATTCACGACGCAGCTCCTCGTTATCAGAGTCATCTAAATTGGTCACTGTCGTTTGATCCTTTTCTCGCAAGCTTTATATGGTGTGTCCCGGATTAGCAGGCAGGCCAGCTTTGCGGCGCGCGCGTCTCTCGTGCATTTTCTGTTTATGTTTCTCTTTTTTCATTTTACGATACAGTGCCATGCGTTGGTCTTTATTTTTAATCAGTGCCAAAGGATTTATAACGGGCATACGCACTTCTGGTTCAATTTCTTCATCATCACTCTTCTCTTCGGCATCACCGTCATTATCAGCCCCACCAACACTGGCATCATCTTTATTCTCATCTTCGCCCACATCTTTACTTTTATTTGCTTCTTTATTCTCATTGTCCTCAGCATCCATATCTTCCTCCACGTCGTCATCACTACTGTCACTGTCATCCTGTTCGGGAGTTTTAGCAGGTTTGCTATCTTTGGATGGCTTCTTCGTCTTGCTGGTTGTAGGAAGGTCCTCCTCTTCGTCACTTGACGCATCACTATCTTCTTGCGCTTCCATCTGTTGTGGCTCCTCTTCGTCAAAGCTAGAGTCACTATCTGGCTCAACAGGCTTTTTTTGTGGCTTTTTCTTCATTTTATTTGCCATTTCCCTGGTTTATTTTAGAATAATATAGAAAAATCTGCGGCACGTGTCCGAAAATGTAAACTAATCACAAAATGCTGCTTCTTCAGTGTGAGGCATTCACAATAGAACAGCTGACTACAGTATATGTCAGAAAAGTAACACTGAATTTCGAATTGGCGAGTTTTATGCAAAAAAAAAAGAAATTCCCATGCGGGTACCTAATACATATGGATATCATGTTTTTAGTTACATATTTAACATTTCTTAACCTTAATATAGGCTCTTGTTAGTCCCAATTGAGTTCAACGTGAACATGATGAAGCATATCTTCCGTAAAGAATTGTTCACCTCGTCAAAGAACGAAATCTATAAGAAGAGACAACACGTTATAATTGTAACGAGTGGGAACATCAGGAGCGTGCTTTCTCTTTTGCCCAAATACGTTTTGTGATTGGATGAAAAGAGAAGGCACGCTCCCGATGTTCACACTCGCTACAATTATAACGTGTTGTCTCCTGTTATAGATTTACGTTCTTTGACCTCGTTTTCTTTTTTTTATATGAAATAGCAATGACAAACATGCACAATTTTTTATATTTTTTATTTTTATTTGATGTTTAATCAACTTATTTTACTCATTACAATTCATCTATGGCATTAATGTGTATT